ACTGAGAATGAGCTGTCAATCACCTCGTCTCCATGGTGACCGTCATCAGGGACAGTGTGTGTGTGTATGGTTACCTGGTTGCTCTCGGTAACAGCGGGGTTCATCGTTAACTGCACGATGAACCAGGTAGCGTTCCTCAGGATGAACGCTGAGATCAGATTCCAGTGGATGATGTTCCTCAGACAGCGGATACTCCTGCAACACACACACACACTACACACACACACACACACAGATAATGAACTCAGTTCAGATCAATTTGTTGACTGCAGTAACTACTTTCTGACTAAATCTACTTTTATTACATTAAATCTGGATTTCTGTTTACTGTGTACAAAGTTGAAATAGATTAAGAATTCAGAAGAATTAAAGTATTTTAATTAAAGTATTTTTAGATTTAATCTACTAAGATGATAAACCTAGTAACTGCACTTACTACAGTTTAGTTTTTGGCAATTTTTCTTTAAGTGAAGAAAACATCTTTTGTCAAAAGATTAAAAAAATGGAGAGAATATTAATACTGTCCTTTAATATTGAATCTGTCTCTTAGTCAGAGAGGAACTCTTTCACAAACTCCCATAATAGTAAATTCCAATACTTCATATGCACATTTCAAAATGTATTTAATAGATGTGCAACATATATTAAACAATATAAATTGGGTTGCAGTATTATTAGATTATTTCATGTGTGATATGACAGTAAGACGACCTCGACAAAGACAAAAACGACAGAGAAAAGAGCCGTCTTTGGTCAATGGTTACAGAGTTCTGTTGTCTGCACCAAACAAATACTTTAAGCTGGAAAACAAGATTTGTAGACCAGGGCACATCTGCAGCTCTACAGTACTTCATTATAATGCCGTCACATTTTACCTTTATCAAAACATTATATTACATTCATTATTATTCTGCAATTTGCAGATTGCACCATGCTGCTATTTTGATAATATTTTGATTAATTGTGCAGCTCTACTCTGGACATCTCTAGATTTTACACTAACATCTTTAAAGGTTTCAATGAAAAAAAGGATTAAAAACAACAGAACAGGATGAGACACTAAAATAGAAAAGAATCTGTTGGACTGAAGCTTCATTTCATCTCTAATCCTCCTCCTCCGACTCTGTTTGATCCTTAATCCTCCAACAATGACTGGACATCACCCAGCACACACACACACTGGCTGTTTGTTTATGAGGATCAAAGGATGAGACAGAATCCGGATCCTTCAGGTTCATTAGAGTCTCAATCAGCTGATGAACCAGCTGACCTCAGTTCAGTTTTATTTCTCTGCTGAGATCTACAAACATTCTCAGAACCTGAATGTCCCTGAATGCCTCATTCTGCTCCGTTCTTCTACCAGATGAGCTCTGGTTCTCAAAGCGGTTCCGTTCAACATTCTTGGAACCAGGGTTGGGGGATATGTTCAAATGTTCCAACCAGCCTAATTTGACCTTGATGGTCTTCTCCTTTCTAACATAAAGACTGTCGGTGTGTGAGTAAGCGACAGGGTTTTAATAATAATATCACAGGGCAGTTTCAGGTTGTTGTAATATACAATTCTTAAGTAATAATGAAATCGTTTCATGTAATAAGTAATAATGAATGGTGTCATCTTCATCTTTCTCTCTCAAAGAAAGTAGACCCGTCAGACCATTATTTGTCTCCACCTCTAATATTAGTTATTTTAGAGACCTCCACAAAGCTTAGATCATGATTCGGTCAACAATGACTAAAAGAACTGGATACTGGACTGGAAAATACTGGTCACAGTTATAGTAACAGCAACAGCTACAGGAGGTCCCAACCAAGCAGGCTGATCATTCTTAAACTGTTGTCAATCAGTCAGAACTAGAAGGAGTCCTTCTCTTCTTGCCCACTGGATTTATTAGAGCTTGACTCACTCTAGGTACCAGGTACTTTTGTCCACTGCAGACAATAACCCTGCAGGTGGGATTCCTAGCTGAGCATCAAGGCTGAAGGCAGCGAGATAAAAGACTGCTGAATAAAACGTATATCAGGTAGAATCCACAACTTCTGCCAACTGGACTGCTGTTGTGACAGAGACCCTTCAGTAGCTGTGGTTTAACGCTTCAGGACGACAATGATTGACAAATAAATAACAGACAGACAGACAGACAGATTACCTGAGTCTCATGAAGAGTGTGAAGGCCAGCAGCAGTGCTCCCAGAGAGATACAGTGACCCAGGTAGTTGATGATCACAGCAACCTGATAATGAACTTTACTTTTCCTCTAAACACACAGGAAACAGGAAACAGGGACAGCAGTTGGTTTGTTTGTTGTTCTTTACAGCTAGTCCCCAGACCTCTACAGCTAGTCCCCAGACCTCTACAGCTAGTGTCCAGACCTCTACAGATAGTCCCCAGACCTCTACAGCTAGTCTCCAGATGTGTGTGTGTGTGTGTGTGTGTGTGTGTGTGGGAGTGTGTGTGTAAGAGTGTGTGT